AAAATATGTGGTGCATTTAGGATGTTGGTCCTCTTGGACATGCTGCCACTGTTAAGTGTCATCAAGTAGACAACTCACAGTGACTAGCAACAATCCATTGTATAGGTGACCATCTTCTCTGGTTTTCCAAGGAAACCCAAACCTGCAGGTGGTGGGGCACACATCCCCCCCCATGGGAGGTGGGGTGCGCCTTGTCTCTTCCATGCGGGCAGCTGGTGGGCGTGCACCATCCCCCAGCACAGGTGACTGGCAGGCGCTTGGCATCTCCCGTGTGACATCTCCCACGTGGGCGGCTGGCAGGCACATATTATCTTGTGCATGGGTGACCAGCAAGTGCACGTCCTCTCTCGGCGGGTGCGGGTCATCTCTTGGAGTGCTTGCATTATCTCATGCGCAGCCAGTGGGCCAGCAGGCACGCACCACCCCCCACACAGGCGACTGGCAGGTGCTTGTCATTTTTTTGTGTGGGCGGCCGCCAGGTGCATGCCATCTTCTGCATGGGTGGCTGGTGGGTGCCAGCCATCTCCCAAGTATCATCTCCCATAAGGATGGCTGGCGGGCACACGTCATCTTGTGTGTGGGCGACCTGTGAGGGCGTGTCATCTCTTGGCGGGTATGGGTCATCTCTCGGCAGGTGGGCGTCATCTTGTGTGTGGGCAGCTCGTGGGGGTGGGTGTGCACCATCTTCCTGTGTGGCCAGCCGGCGGGCACACTTCATCTCTTGGCGTGCACGCTCTATCTCGTGCGCAGGCAGCCAGCTGGTGCACACCATCCCCCAGAGTGGGGCAGCCAGCAGGCGTGCACCATCTCCCACGTGGGCAACTGGCGGGTGCATGCCATTCCCCATTGTGGGTGGCTGGTGGGCACGTGCCATCCCCCACACAGGCGGCTGCTGGGCACATGCCATCTTCCATGTGGGTGGCTGGCGGGCGCGAGCCACCTCCTGAGTGTCTTCTCCCACACGGGCGGCTGGCAGACATGCGCCATCCCGTGTGCGGGAAGCCAGTGGGCGCGCACCATCTCCCATGCAGGTGGCCACTGGGCAAGTGCCATCTTCCATGTGGGTGGCCAGCGAGCGCAAGCCATCTCCCGCACGTCATCTCCCACATGGGCGGCTGGTGGTTGCGCTTCATCTCATGCGAGGGAGACCAGTGTCTGCCCGCTTTCTTTGCCGCCGCCATCTTGGCTCTAAGAATTCTCCTCGGAACAAGTACACTTTGTTGCAGTGTGGCGGCTCCACCGCACCAGTCCTGGGGAGGCCTGGTGCCCACCCTCCATCCTGGGCAAGGAATTTCATAGGTTCCGGCTGTGGGAGCTTCATGGAGCTGCGGCTGCGGTGAGGCGCAGTGCGGGCTCTGTGGGAGGAGGTTGGTAGCTGTGGCACTCATCCATTCTTCCTTGAAAATCCTTGAATTCCTGTTGTTGAGCCTCAATCCTCACTGAAGACCAGTCATCAACTGTTTAACTGTTCAATTATCAATAAATAGAAGTCTGTAGAGGGTCATAATGGCCCTTTTCCAAGTGGTCCACTGCTCCTGCAGCTCACCAAGTTGTCTCTGCCTCGCCACCATCTTGGATCTCCTCAAACTTATTTTTAAGATGATGATGAATTTCTGATGGATTATGAAAACACTTGGTGTCAGGATAGTAGGATTTGCTACAAAGGGCCAGGATCTTTGTAAAATGTGTTTTTGGAGAAAAAGTGGTGAAGAAAAGAATAAGAAACACTCAGGCTCTGGGTGCTTTAAGGTATATCCACATACAACCATTGATATTGGCGTTAAGTATGCAGAAAAACAAACAAGACGTTTTGATGAAGGAAAATTAAAAGCTGGCCAGAGTGTAATTGGTTTGCAGATGGGAACCAACAAATGTGCCAGCCAAGCAGGGATGACAGCCTATGGGACCAGGCGGCATCTTTATGATCCCAAGATGCAAACTGACAAACCTTTTGACCAGACCACGATTAGTCTGCAGATGGGTGCTAACAAAGGGGCCAGCCAGGCGGGGATGTTGGCACCAGGGACCAGAAGAGACATCTATGATCAGAAGCTAACATTACAACCAGTGGACAACTCAACAATTTCTCTACAGATGGGTACCAACAAAGTTGCTTCTCAGAAAGGAATGAGTGTGTACGGGCTTGGGCGGCAAGTATACGATCCCAAATA